TAGTTAAAGATTAATGTATATATGGATTAAGAAATATTTAATAGATACAAATTTAAATTAAAAAGCCCTTATTTAATATTTTATTAGTAGAACTAATTTCAATTGTACACATGTGTAGCTTACTCTCTAGTAAAAATAAGTGAGTAATAGGTAGAAATGATATTTATTAAATACAGGTATAATTGAGGGAAAAGATCCTTATTATTGAAATTTTAAAACAATTGTTTTGGAGGAAAAAAATAAAGCTAAAAGCCTAAAACCACTAAAATCCTTATTCTTTTTTTTTTTTTAGGGGATAAAATCCTTATTCTTAAACATGAAAAAAATATTCTATTTTATAATATTTGTTCTTGCAACACATGACTTTAATAATTCTTCTTGTCCTTCTTATAACTAAATTAGAAGATTGACCTGGTTTTTTTTGTAAGTACACATTTAAAATGTATTTTATAATAACTTTTCTTTTTATTTTTTTCTAAGTTCAATAAATAGTACTGCTTATTTTATTAGTAGTTTAAAATTGTTATTAATAAACCATGAAATGTATAAAAAAACATGAAACTTATTAATTTTTTCTGTTTTTATATTTCTAATTATATATTTTTTTTCATTTTTACTCCATAATAAATACATATTAGCTGTTAATGTGCAAAAATTAGGTAATATATAAGAGTATAATTGACATAAAGTAATTAATTAATTTTGTCTTAAATTTTAAAAATAATAAATAAATAAAAATAAAAATTTACTAAAAATGGACAATGAAATAGGAATGAAGGAGTATAAGTGAGAAATATTAATTTCTTGGGCTCTTTAGAAGTTTAACTTTGCCTTATATAAAGATAATTTTGAAATCTTACTTTGTCCTTTCATCTTTTCATAGTCAATAAAAGTCAAGACAATAAATTTGTTAATGATGTGATAATAAAACAACAAAATATTTTAAAAAAACTCATTATTGTTAATAATAATTTTGAAAAAAATATATGTAAAGTTAACAAATTTTTTTTAATGTTATTAGCTATTTTCTTTAATTTTAGTGAATTAGTTAATTGGATCTCATAAAAAGACAAAAAAATATTGGGTCAATTTGTTTAAAGTTTTTTTTATAAAAGTATTTTTTAAATAAAATAAGCACCTTTTTTTATTTTACTTTTTATGTGTTTGTTTAATGTTTTTAAATAAACAAATTTATGTTTTTCTTTTTAAAAGAAACTCCTACTTGCTTCTTAAATAATTATTTTTTAATATATTTTTAGAAACATTTTTTCTTAAGTTTAAACAAACATACTTATTATTTAAAATATATATATATATATATATATATATATCTTAAATAATAAGTATGTTTGTTTAAACTTAAGAAAAAAAATGTTTCTAAAAAAAATATAATATATATATATATATATATATGAAGAGAGATTTGTTTATTGTAGGAGTAAGTCTACCTATTTTACTCTGTTCAATAATTCATATTTTACATCAAATTTCAATGATCACAGTTGAATTTAAAGTTTTTAATGCATAGATCAAATAGGTAAATTTTTAAATTTTTTTAAAAATCATCTTATACTTCATTTCATTAATTCAAATTGATGAATAATCATAAACTTATTTTATATATTAATTTGAATTTATGAAACGAAATATCAAATGACTTTCTAATTTTTTAAAAATTTGTAGATTTGATCTATGCTTTAAGAACTTTAAATTCAACGCTTTGATTGTTAAAATTTGATGTAGAACATGAGTTATTGAATGAAGTAAGTCTAGGTAAACTTATTCCTAAAGTAAACGGATCCCTCCTCTCTCTCTCTCTCTCTATATATATATATATATTGAACAATACCTCTAATTATAATCATTTTAAAAATTTACTTTTGCATTAAAGTTTCCTTTTATATCTCTTATATGAGGATGATTCAAATGATTGGTCTAACTTTTACCAACTATTATATCACTCAATAACTTTTAATTAAATGTAAGTTTTCAAGTTACCTCTTTCTTATAGAATAAAATTGACATAATATATTCATTTTAAAATATACTAAAATACAAACACTTTGATTATTTTCAAATTATTGTTCAATTTTAACAAACTTTGATATAAACTTATAAGATGATATGAAATTATAATTCAATGGTTGGATCACAAAATTCATATTTAATATAAAAGTTATTGAGCAGTGTAATAATTAGTAAAAGTTACACCAATATCATTTGAACTCTCCTCCTCAATATATATATATATATATATATATATATA